CTTTTGTGCAGGGTGAAAGATAGGGGTTTAAGTTTCATTCTTCTACAGGTGGAGATCCAGTTTTGCCAGCACCATTTGCTGAACATGCTGTCTTTCCTCCAGTGAATATTCTTGGCCCCTTTGTCAAATATCAGGTGGCTAAAATTGCATTTACTCAGATTTGGGTATTTAATTTTGTTCCATTGATCCATGGGTCTATTTTTGTGCCAGTACCATGTTGTTTTTATGACTATAGCTCTGCAATACAGCTTAAAATCTGGTATAGTAATCACCCCGGCATTGATCTTAGTGCTCAGGGTTGTTTTAGCTATCAGAGGTCTTTTGTGCTTCCATATGAATCTTAGGAAAAATGTCACAGAGATTTTGATTGGCATTGCATTGAATCTATAAATGACTTTTGGTAGGATGGTCATTTTCACAATATTAATTCTTGTAATCCATGAACATGGGAGGTCCTTCCATCTTCTGATGTCTTCCTCAATCTCTTTCTTTAAAGATTTAAAATTTTCATTTTAGAGCTCTTTAATGTCTTTGGTCAGGTTTATCCCCAGATATTTAAAGGCATGCGCCATCATGCCCGGCTATTTTTTAATTTTTAAAAATTATTTTTATTTTATGTGTATGAATGTATTGCCTGCATGTGTATAAGAGCACCTGTGTCATGCAATGCCCAAAGAGGTCAGAAGAGGGCATTGGATCCCCTGGGACTGGAGTTATGGATGGTTTGTTAGCCGCCATGTGGGTGCTGGGAATTGAACTTGAGTCCTCTTCAGGAGCAGTCAGTGCTTTTAAGCACTGAGCCATCTCTCCAACCCCCCAATGCACTATTTTTATTGTATTTCTAAAGTCATTTCTGCTGCACACGGTCTGATTCTATGCTCTTAGTACAGAAAGTTAAATTATTATCTGTAGTCCTTGTCTCTATACAATACTAGAATAACTCATGGGAAATAATATATCTCTGTATCCTAGAAACAAGAGTATAACTAGACCAATTATAAGTGAAATTGCTTGTGATAAAAGTTAAAAAGACTTTGGAGTTAGTTGGGGAAATCAAACTACCATTTATAATATCATTTAAAAATAACTTTTAAACTAGATATGGCATGTAAAGCAATTGTTTAACAAATGTGAATCCTCTATTCAAATGTATTCTAAATGTTCAGAAGAAAAGAAAGAGATGGGCCCTGTAAAAATATTAGACTTGGGCTTGGAAGGAGCTGTGGGTCTTACAGAAAAGTTAATGAATAATCTTTTGTGCCTGA